CTGATGCTCATCTCATTCCGTCTCTCGAGACTGATGATCCAACTGTGGTCATTATGGTTCCTAAACCATCTGAAAGTGAAACTAGTGACTCTCGTGATGCTAACCCTCGAGTTAGTTCTGGTACTGTACGAACTGTACGTGTTCATTGTGGTGTTCCGCATCCATCTGCATCTTCATCCTCATCATTTAAAGCATCAATGCTTCCTCCACCACCTCCTAAGAACGTGAAGTTCACAAAAGGAAACTTTAACTTTGAAAAGTTAGTTGAATCGGAAAGTGAAACCGATGATGAAACTCAAGCAATCAGGACCGCTCAGCGAATCTCTTTACCCAAGAACTCTGACTCTTCATCCTCATCTGCAAATCCAATTGATCAACCTTCGACTTCCAACATTGTCTCAATTCGATCTGGTCCATCTAACACTGGTAAACGTCCTGCAAACGATTCTCATCTCCAATATAAAAGAATGTATTTGGCTCCACCAATTCAACTCCGAAAACAATTCCCTATTCTCATGGAACAATTACCTGAGTTAAGTAAATTAGTTAAAACTCCTCTCAGATTCAACGGCAATCCTATTTATCGTCCCCTTCCTACAAAAATCATTCCCTCCGTTCAATGGCAAGATCCCATTTCAACTACTCAAACTTACCCAGAATCCAACTCTTCCAATTCCTCTCATTCCTCTCAAAGTAATCAACCTCCTAATCAACCTCGAATTCAGTATCCCCTTCAACAAAAAGATCTCCATCCTCGACTCTTTATTCATCCTGATAAAAAGTTTCCCGAAAAATACTTGAAACCCTCAGAATATAACTTTAAGAAAGGAGAATACCCAGCTCCGTTACCCACAGCTCCACTTCCTGATTACCTTTCAAACGAACGCTTCTTTGAAGTTAAAAATTTAGTACAAGTTAAGGCTAAAGCCTTTTCCGATTTAAAAGCTAAATTTGAACTCATGATTCGTGAGAAAATTTACCTAAACTTATACGATGATGAAAAAGTAAAAACTATGCCTTTAAAAGCCATACCTCACGGTATTACTAAAGCACAGGTCAAAAATAATGATCTAAAAGACATAGAAAAGAGCATTCGATGCTA